TCTAGGCCTATGAGTCGGAATATTTGCCAATTCTGGGTAAAATTTCGAACCAGTTGACATCCTCAATGGTTCCTGTCTATGGCCTCCCTTCTGGGCATAATCTCTCCGAAATGCCATATTGTCTAGCTTCAAACAAAGATGTAGAGCCTCTGGTAGAGATGTAGGACCCTTGACACTGAGCAGCCTAGGAAGGTCGCCGTTCAGGCCTCTTATGAAGGTATCAAGTGCCTTCTCTCGATATGTATTCGTCATGGCTCTGAGACTACCGTCGTCCAATTCCAGGCAGGAAACCTTATCCAAAATTAGAGATAGTGTTTGATAGACGTCCTGATAGAACTCTGTGACACCTCTGTGCCCCTGACACAAAACATTCATTTGGTACTCTAGTGTACCTATATCTCGTTTATCCGCGTAGTGCACCATCAGACATTTGCGTATTTTGGCCCAATCCAATGGAGTCCTATAGGATTCTAAAGCAGTATCGGCCTCACCTATAATTTTCGTACGAATTGTATGCAAAATTGCGTAGTATTTCCCGGTACCACGAAGTGATGAGTATAAATCAATCACCCTTTCGACTGATTTCCTCCAAGAGCTGAATTCTCCGGGTTTTCCCGAAAATTCCCTCAAGGATTTCACTATATCTGGAACTTTGTCCAGTTCCTCCAGTCTCGAGGAGACTGTTCCTACCGGTATGTCACTACCATCGTCAAACGTTTCGTCTCGTCCGGCCAAAAGGTTTGTAATCATTCGTGTGATTTCATTTCTTTGTCTGTCCGTGAGTGCTGAACTACCTGATGTAAGGGTGTTTGCCCTTGTTTGAGTCTCCATGTTATTTGAAGATGGATTCATCGTAATTCTATTTAATTTTGCGGCAATATCATCTACTGATTCTAACATTTTTTCTCTTTATCAAAAGGAAAGGTGGAGCTATCAAAGTTACGTTATTTATCAGTATTGGGAACAAAAAAAAATTTCATAGGTAACAAATAACTATAAAATGTTAGGAACTAAATTTGTTCTTAATTTGAATTCTTAAAGTTATTCTTACAATAGCAGCATCATTAGAGTCTGGAGTAGCATCCTTCTAGTACAGATGAGATGAGATGAGATGAGATGATCGTTTTTCTTAGTCCTTTCAAAGTTTTCAAAGTTTTGTTGTGTCCGATTTTTTTTTCACTTTTATTTATAAATTGTTAAAATATTTAATATTGTTCAAACAATTTTTTTTATTTTAATTTTTATTTCTGTCTTAACTTTATTTTTATTTATATTCATTCAAACTTATTTAAATTGCTTTATTTTTTATCTCTTTTTTTTATAATTTCTCACAATTGTTTCTCTTTTATTTCTCACTTCATTTAATTTACTTTGCATTTAAGTTTTCACAAGTTTTTTTTTTTTAAGTTTTCATTTTGTAATTATCATTTTAATTTCCTTTATTTTGATACTTTTTTTTTATTTTTTTTTTAAATTCTCACTTTTTATTTAATTTAATTTACTTTGTTTTTTAATTTTTCAGGAGTTTTTTTTATTTTCTTTAATAGTTTTTCATTTTTCACAATTCTTGTATCAATGTTTTTATTTTACTTTCACTTTTTTAAAATTTTTATTTGTAAACTTATTTAGATTGCTTTATTTTTTATCTCTTTTTTTTTTATAATTTCTCACAATTGTTTTTCTTTTATTTCTCACTTCATTTAATTTACTTTGCATTTAAGTTTTCACAAGTTTTTTTTTTTTTTTTTTTTTTTTTAGTTTTCATTTTGTAATTATCATTTTAATTTCCTTTATTTTGATACTTTTTTTTATTTTTTTTTAAATTCTCACTTTTTATTTAATTTAATTTACTTTGTTTTTTAATTTTTCAGGAGTTTTTTTTTTATTTTCTTTAATAGTTTTTCATTTTTCACAATTCTTGTATCAATGTTTTTATTTTACTTTCACTTTTTTAAAATTTTTATTTGTAAACTACCGTAATCTAGTGATCCGCGTCGCGGGCTTTAGGGGCTGTAACATAACGTTACGTCCTTTTCACAATTAAGTTACTGGGGCGCCACCTGAAGGCTTGACTTTTGTCGGAAATCCTTTCTTCGGGTTTCGAGTACCTGTTTAAAAACAGGTCCCTGCTCTCGGGCGCCAATTAATTCAATGTTAATTTATTTATTTTTTTAAAAATTTGTGATTGCTGCTTACTGCAAGCAATCACGTCTTTATTGGTTAAGGTTCCGGACTACAAAGTGAATCATGAAATAAAACTACCCTAACTTATACTTTGGATTCATGCACCCAGATGATACTGGACACCTGCTCGTGTTGGCGATGGAATGTTGCTGTCTGCTTGTTGGATGTTGTTGTCAGTGTTTCGGTGGGAACTGCAGTGTCAGCAAAATGACACGCTTATACTTTGGTTGATGAATTCTTTGGGTTGCTAATGTTGAATTTGAATATGTCTGGTGTTAACTTATATAGGTCCACTTTTAAGAATAGCCGCGATATAACGGTACTACTCGATATTCGGCGTTCTGATGATTTTTGCCACATTTGTTCATAGATTTGTCAAATAATTGGTATTTGTAGTTCGTAATGAGTTCTAGTTCCGGTGGCGGAACATTATAAATACAAGGTGAGATAAAAAAACTGCAACCAACTTCAGACTGCTATCATTTCCAAGACACTTCTCCGATGAGAAAAAATTCGTTGTCCAGCAGTTTGTATACCAACGAAGTCATCGTGTTTACTTGCCATAGAGGTCAGCTGTTGGACTATTGTGTCTGGAGTATTTTAAAAAGCAAGGTTGGCACTAAAAAAGTGTCGATCACCTCAAAATACCGCAGTGAAACAATCGGGCAGCGTGTGCCGTTTGAAGGTCATAAAACGTGCCAAAGGTGACCAATTCTTAGAAATCTAAACCTATTTTAAAGTTGATGCTATTTCCGACATTTTTTGCTTTCATTCAATAAAATTTAAAAAATGTAAAAATTATGGCGTTTGACTTTATTGTAGTTTTTTTATCTCACCCTGTATTTACGATCAGGATAAAATTCTTAGTCGTTTTAACAATGTCCGTCTTTATGTCTGTTGAAGTCAGGATACAGCTCACATTATTAAAAATAGAGCTTCAAAATTTGGCTGAACAATTTGAATTGTGTCTCAGATGTTTGGTATTGAAAGTGACGTTTAGGAATAGCCGCCATATAACGGTACTTCTCGATATTCGGCGTTTTGACGATTTTTGACACATTTTTTCACGGAATTGTCTAAAATTTCATAATGGATTCTAGCTCCGGTGGCTTAACATTGTATATATAGGTCCACGTTATGGTATAGGCCCCATTAACTGCACCTCCCGATATTCGGTATTTTGATGATTTTAGCACATTTTTCCACGGATTTGTGATCACTTAAAAGTAATGAATATTTTAAAATGTAATGAACATTTTAAAAAGTCCATAACTCCTAAATTCTTGAGATGTCAGTGTTTATATCTATTTATTGTGAACACGTCCTTAGACATGCAATTATCAATATATGTCTTAAAATAGCCATAACTCCTTAAAAATTAAGTTTCCAGCGTTTTTGCTCTTATCTAAGATCACCTTTTCATCGAATCCTCGGCGTTTTAGCTTTTTAGTTAAGTTATCACTTTTTATACCCTCCACCATGGGTAGGAGGGTATATTAACTTTGTCATTCCGTTTGTAACACCTCTAAATATTCGTCGTAGACCCCATAAAGTATATATATTCATAATCAGCATAAAATTCTAAGACGATTTAGCGATGTCCGTCTGTCTGTCTGTCCGTCTGTCTGTCCGTCTGTCTGTCTGTCTGTCTGTCCGTCTGTCTGTCTGTTGAAATCACGATAGAGCCCACATTATTTGACGTAGACCTTTGAAATTTGGCACAAGTGTGTGTATTGTCCCTAGGATGGTTGGTATTGAAAATGAGATATATCGGTCCACGTTCTGGTATAGTCCCCATATAACGGTACCTCCCGATATTCGGTATTTTGATGATTTATGCCACATTTTTTCACGGATTTATCTGAAATTGGTATTTGTAGGTCATGACGGGTCCCTGAGCGTGTGGCAAAACATTGCATGTATAGGTCCACGTTTTGGTATAGCCTCCATATAACGGTACCTACCGATATTCGGTATTTTGATGATTTATGCCACATTTTTTCACGGATTTGTCTGAAAATTGGTATTTGTAGGTCATGACGGGTCCCTGAGCGTGTGGCAAAACATTGCATGTATAGGTCCACGTTTTGGTATAGCCCCCATATAACGGTACCTACCGATATTCGGTATTTTGATGATTTATGCCACATTTTTTCACGGATTTGTCTGAAAATTGGTATTTGTAGGTCACAACGGGTCCCTGAGCGTGTAGCAAAACATTGCATGTATAGGTCCACGTTCTGGTATAGTCCCCATATAACGGTACCTCCCGATATTCGGTATTTTGATGATTTATGCCACATTTTTCACTGATTTGTGTAAAAGTTGGTATTTGTGGGTCATAATGGGTCCTAGCTCGTGTGGCGAAATATTGTAATTATAGGTGCACGTGTTGGTGTAGCCCCTATATAACGGTACCTCCCGATATTCGGCATTTTAATGTTTTTTTGCCACATTTTTTCTAATGTTCTTTTACCCTAGGGTGGAGGGTATTAAAAGTTTGGCCCGGCCGAACTTAATGTTTTTTTACTTGTTTAGACATGAATTAATCAATATTTTAAAGTGACCATTACTCCGTTAATTTTGAGTTTTCATCGTTTTTAGCTATTACTCCACTTTAACACTCAATTCGCAGCCACAAGAAAACCTTTCGACCTTGGCCCCTAAGTATTTTCAACATTTCAAAAACAGGTGTCTTTGAAACTTGTGAAAACAACACACAGTTTGCATTGTAAGCCGATAGCAAATAAGCTTTCAATTAATTTTTTTTTTCTCATCTTAATGCCCTCATCTGCCACCGATTTCTTTTCTTTCAGGTTTAGATTGGAATTTAATAAATGCAAGCTGTTTATGTCGAGGCTATGACATCCTTTGCCGTTTCCAAGAATTGACTGAGATTCCATTACAACTACCAAAAGATGGCATAGAAATGCTGTAAGTATTTTGTGCCTCAGGTTTTTGAATTTGAAAACATTGACAAGTCGACGCAGTTTTGGATTTATGCTAATTAGTGTTAGACAATTTATGGAATGTTTTTGAAAGGAAAAGTTTCAGATTTCTAATTTTTATAGACATAGCTTTAGGACTATCACTTATCTTTTGCATGTGATTGGTTTCGTATTGATAACATTCAAAAGAAAATGTGATCTATGTAGTTTGGATACACGTATTACAGGGTGAGATAAAAAAAACTGTAACAAAGTCAAATGCCATAATTTTTAAATTTTTACACCCTCGTCAGTTCCGTTTGTAACTCATCGAAATAATTATTTTAGACCCATCAAAGCATATATATTCTTGATCAGCGTAAAATTCTAAGACGATTTAGCCCTGTCCGTCCGTCTGTCCGTCTGTTGTAATCACCTACAGTCAAAACGAATTAAGATAGGAAGCTAAAATTTCGCACAGGTCTGCAGGCAGGTCAAGTTCGAAGATGGGCTATATCGGTCCATGATATCGTATAGCCCCCATATAACGGTACCCCCGATATTTGGTATTTTGATGATTTTAGCCACATTTTCAATGGAATTGTCTGACATTCTACACAAGGAATTCTTCACGAACACTTTACCTCCTGGAAGAGAATTGTCTATATAGGTCCACGATATATCGGGACCTTCCGATATTCGTTCTTTTTAAGATTTTAACATAATTTTTAATGGATTTTATTTATATTTATTTTTTTAATTTCCTAATTCGTTCCAAATGGTGGAAGGTATTCAAAGTTCGGCCCGGCCGAACTTACTACTTTTTTACTTGGTCTTTTTTTTAGATTTTATTGAATTTAAGCAAAAAAATGTCGGAAATAGCACCAAATGTTAGAATAAGTTAAGATTTGTTCGAATTGGTCACCTTTGGCACGAATTATGGCCTTCAAACGGCCAATGAAACCGTCACACGCTGCCCATTCCCGGCGAAGCGCTACCAACCTGGCTTTCCAAAATACTGCCATTTGGCCATTGTGCCCTGGAAATGATCCTCATTTTGCAAACATTCTTGAATGTCGCGTGCTGAGTGCGTTGGTGCTGAGTCCTGTTGGAATATCCAAGGTCTGCGGCTCAAGGATTTAATACACCCTCCAGAATATTTTCGCGATAATATTCGGCATTTATTCTGATGCCACGATCTATTAATACGAGCGGAGAGCGACCATCGGCTGTTATGGCGGCCCACACCATCACTATGGTCGACGCTTGAGTTGTGGTGGCCATTTTGTTTGTTTACAAACTACTGGACAAGGAATGTTTTCTCATCGGATAAAACCAAATTCGGCAGTTCATCACTTTCGGCCAAGCGAATCAACTCTTTAGCTCTTCTGAGTCTATTTTCTTTCTGTTGCTGTGTAAGTTCTTGCACTTTTTGGAATGTCAATGGCTTTACCCCGAGCTCATTTTTCAATATTTGCCGATTGGAATATTGCGATATGTTCAGCTCACGAGCCATTTTTCGGCCACTGCGACGCGGGTTTCGATCAAATTGCTTTATTACATTTCGAACTATTTCTGCTGATGTTGCTGTTTTTTTCTGTCCACTTCCTTGACGTCGGGCTACGCTACCAGTATCACGGTAACGAGCGATGGTACGAGACAAAAAAGATTTATTCACATTTAAATGATCGAGTGCTCTAACGATAGCCACTTGTGGTTTTCCAGCCAAATATAAAGAAATCACAAGCGTGATAGGCTTGAATTCTATCACGAATAATTTTTTTTTTCTGGAAAATTCTCACCAAAATGCTTTTGTACGCTTGTAAACAATATAATGAGCTGTCACTGGAGTAATAGTAACAGTTGTCGGACAAGTGGCTTAGAAATGACGGCAGTCTGAAGTTGATTGCAGTTTTTTCATCTCAATCTGTACTTCCCCATTCGGTATTTTGACGATTTTAGGTACAATATTCACGAAAATTGTGTGAAATTTCGTATTTGAAGTTTCTAATAGGTACTACAGCATGTGATTGAAAATTGTCTATGCAGGTTCAGGTCTTCGTATAGCCCCGATATAATCAATATTTTGATGATTTTGATTGATGATTTTTTGATTTTATTCACCTTTTTTTTAAGTTTCGTTTTTGAATATTTTAATGACTTATTACAAAAGTTGCCTATGCAGGCCCACGTCTTCGTATAGACCCCAATATAATGGCTATATTCGGTATATTAAAGATTTTAACAGATTTCTTAGCGAATTTTATTTTTTTTGAAAATTTCCAAATAAGTTTCAAATGGTGGAGAGTATTCCAATTTAGGGCCGACCGAACTTACTGCTTTTTTACTTGTCATACTTCATCTAATACATATAACAATATTAGTATGGGCAAAGATCAAGACAATAAAATCGAACATTCATATCCAATTTTATGCAAAAACATAAATCCCATGTTCATTTTAAGTTTCTGGTAGAGAGAAATATTTAGATATAGGAAGTTATAAAGAATTGTTTTTACCTCTCATTTTTACAAATTTCTTTTACACTTTTCTTCTACACAGCGACTTAACTGGTAATAACTTTCCAAATATCAGTAGCAGCTTTATGGAAAATCTACCAATGACTGAAATTTTGTAAGTATTCCTACATCCTATATCAGCTCGCAGTGAATGAGATATTTACGATTTCTTTTTTTCAATGTCAAATAAAAACACATTTCAAAACAAAATTATGAAAAAGTTAAATGAATCAAAGAAAAAATCGAAATAAATTATTTTTAAAAATTACAAAATAATACCCATGGTAAAATTAAGAAGGAATAGTTATTTCAAATAAGCATTCCCATCTTTGCATTTTCTGTAATTTACCTTGTCAAATTTCACTACATAGAAACAGGTTCCCATCTCTGATTGGTGCAGTACAATGGATTTATAAATAAATAATTTGACAATGAGATATTGTCAAATGAATAATTTTAAAAAAATTGTAAACATATGATTGCATGACTTTACCTTCTTAATTCTACCATGACAATAGAGAAATTCAAACTCATAATGATTTTTCTTTATAAATATTTGTATAGAGTATTAAAGTTTTGTGGCATTGCCACATTGGCCTCTGAAGCATTCCAAAGACTCTCCATCATTCCTGTCAGAACATTGTGAGTACAACTTGAAATTAGTTTAACATTACTTAATTTAAATGCAAATTCAATTATGCAGATACTTGGATGAAAATCGAATTGAACGGTTGTCGGGAAATCTTTTTGCTGAGGGAAATCATTTAAATACTCTGTAAGTATATCTCAATAAATCTTTAACTTTTTTTCTTTTAACTATCGACAATCTGTATAGGCCCTTCTCTCTCTCTCTTGTGATACTTACAATATATTCCCATTTCTAGCATCCTCTCAGGTAATCGCATACAAAACTTGGGTGATAATGATTTTCAAAACCTGGGTGAGTTAATAGAGTTGTAAGTACGGGCATCGAAAATCATTTACATATTTTACTAATTGTAATTCCGTATCGCAGAGATCTCCGCAACAATCAAATAACAACAATAACGTCCACAGTTTTTGAACCTCTGGTCAATTTAAAAGTTCTGTAAGTTACACAAATATCGAAACAAAATTAATTAATCTATTTCAACAAATATCTGTTTTTCTAAACTTCTTTGCAGGCATCTCAATAACAATTACCTAAACTTTTTAAGTCCGTTGATGTTTCCAAGACTGATAAATCTTCAGACTCTTTTCCTTGTCGATAATCGCATAACGCACATTGAAAAGGATACATTTCGATTTCCCAATCTTAGATATTTGTAAGTGTAATGAAGAAAAAATTCTTTGAAAATAATTTAATTTTAGTTTATTGTCTTAGGTTCCTAACCGGAAATCAACTGACTGAAATAAAGGCACAGATCTTTTGTCCCCTGCATTTGCTACAAGGATTGTGAGTTATTATTGCATTAAATAAATAATAATACATTTAACAAATATATGATAATGAGCCAAGATTTCCCACGTTTTCTATACCATCCACCATACATAGTATGGAGGGTATATTAAGTTCGCCATTCCGTTTGTAACTCATCGAAATAATAATAATTTCCGTCTGCCTATCTGTTTAATTCACGCTAGAGTCAAAACCAATAAAGATATGCTTTTGTCTGCAGGCAGGTCAAGTTCGAAGATGGGATATATCGGTCCACGATATCGTATATCCCCCATAAAACAGTACCTCCCTTTATTCGTTATTTTGATGATTTAGCCACATTTTTCAATGGAATCATCTAAAAATCCACACTAAGCACTTTATCCGCTGGAAGAGAAATGTCTATATAGGTATTCGATATCGTGTAGCCCCCATATAACGGTACCTCCCTATTTTCCGTATTTTGATAATTTTAGCGATATTATTCACCAGAGTCTTTTCAAATTTCGTATTAAAAGTTCGTAATGGGAACTACAGTCTAGGGTAGAAAATAGTCAATGCAGGTCCAGATCTTCGTATAGGCGCCATATATCAGTACCTCTCTCTATTCGGTATTTTGGCAATTTTAGGCACAATATTCACCGAAATAGTTTGAAATTTCCTAATAGTTACTACAGTCTAAGACAGAAAATTGTCTGTGCAGGTCCACGTCTTTGTATAGCCCCCATACAACGGTACCTCCTGATATTCAGGAAATTTGAATATCGTAATGGCATATGACATATGAAATATGACATTTAATATACAAGTCCATGTCTTCGTACAGTTGTGAAATTCTCGAACACATTTTTTGAGTTACCGACAAAAGTCGGTAAAATTAAAATGCTTATAATTTCCGTAATTTATGAAATTTTTCGTTAAATTAGCGACGAAATCAAATCAGTCGGTAAGACCAACCGATAGATACCAATGTTTTCAACTTGAACTCCTTTTTTATACCAACATTTTGGGTTTCAAAGTTACCGATTTTTGTCGGTAACTAAAAAAAAAGATAGAGAATCCCACTACAGATATCCCCAATGTAAGGGGTAACTCCCTACATTCGTTGTTGTTACGTTTTTGCAGTATTTTTCCGCCAAACTTACTGCTTATTGGAATTGAAAATGGGATTTGTCGATCGGCATTTAAGTACAGCTTCCATTTAATAGTATGTTTTAATTTTTGGCAATTTTAAAGTTTCTACCTCAATTTCATACCGAACCTAGTATAATTTGATATTTTAGGTTTCACTCAAACCTTCAACAAAGTCAAACGCGAAGCGCTTGCTTGCACTTTGGTATTTTTTAGCGCCAACCTTGCTTTCCAAAATACTTCAGACACAATAGTCAAACGGATTGGTATCCAGAGATCCATTGTGCGAGTGGAGATAAAGCGAGGAACCCCATTTTGTAACCATTCTTGGGTGGCGTGTGCTGAGTGCGATGGTGCTGAGTCCTGTTGGAATGTCCAAGGTTTGCGGCCAAAATGTTTGCGTGCCCAAGGCTTTAATACACCATCCAAAATATTTTCGCGATAATATTCGACATTTATTCTGATGCCACGGTCGATTAATACGAGCGGAGAGCGATTATTGTCTGTTATGGCGGCCTACACCATCACCATGGCCGGCGCTTGAGTCCTGATGGCCAACCGAAGGTGCAGCTAACCTCTTTGGCAAGTAAACACGATCATTTTGTTTGTTTACAATCTGCTCATCGGAAAAAACCAAAATCTCCAAATTCGGCAGTTCAACACTTTCGACCAAGTAAAGCAACTCTTTAGTTTTTTTTGAGTCTATTTTCTTTCTGTTGCGGTGTAAGTTATTGCACATTTTGGAATTTCAATGGCTTTACCCCGAGCTCATTTTTCAATATTTGCCGAATGGAATATAGTGATATGTTCAGCTCACGCACCATTTTTCGACCACTGCGACGCGGGTTTCGACCAACTCGCTTCTTTACTTTTCGAACCATTTCTGCTGATGTTGCTGTTTTCTTCCGTCCACTTCCTTGAAATCACACTATCACGCCTGAATTTCACCACGAATAACTTTTATTCTAGAAAATTCTCACCAAAAAGCTTTTGTACGCTTGTAAACGATATAATGTGCTGTCACTGGAATAATTTTAACAGCTGTCGGACGAGTGGCTTAGAAATGACAGAAGTCTGAAGTTGGTTGCAGTTTTTTTTTATCTCACCCTGTAATAAAGTGTATTATATCTTTCAGGCATTTAAATGACAATAGGCTAAGAAAATTCGACCTTCATGCATTCGATTGCTTGGAAAATTTGACATCACTCTTTCTTAATGACAATGATTTCCGTAAAATGGATAATCGGACTTTGAAGCATTTAACTAATTTGGAATACATGTAAGTTCCTGCAACAAAAAAAAAAACATGTGTCTCAGACAACCTAAAACCCATTTCCATTGAACATTTCTTTTCAGATACTTTTCATGGTTTCATCTCTGCCATGCGGCGCGACATGTACGCGTGTGTGAGCCCCATGGTGATGGTATTAGTAGCTTCTATAATTTATTAGATAATTCAATTTTAAGAGGAAGGTTGGTGTACTTTAAAGTTTTCCTAACAATTTAATTTCTATACCAATTCCTATTATCAGTGTCTGGGCCATGGCTATCATTGGCATTGTGGGCAACATCTTGGTCCTGATGGGCCGTTATTTTGTCAAGAAGACAAGAAGCAATGTTGAACATTCCCTCTATTTGCGGCACTTGGCTGGCAGTGATCTTCTCATGGGCATTTACTTGGCCATAATTGCTTGCGCCGACATCAGTTTTCGTGGTAACTATTTGGTTCACGAGGAGTCCTGGCGTCACGGTAGATTATGCGCTTTTGCAGGTAAGTGGTTTTTGTCTAATAACAAGGATATTCTTTGTCTTTGATATACTTTATTTGGGTATTTGGGTTTTAGGCTTTCTGAATACATTTAGCTGCCAGTCATCCACTCTCATGTTGACGCTGGTAACATGGGATCGTTTGATGTCGGTTATAAGGCCTTTGCAGGCAAAGGATAATCGACGAAAAAGGTAAGAAGACTACAACAACTACAACCCTATTACGTTATCGTATTTTCCAATCGATTTAGTGTATCTTTTGTTTATAGTCAAGTCTATAAAAAGACCTAGAAAAACATTGGCCTAAGAACCCGAAACACTTCTTGGTTTGGTTTGATTTTGAAATCCATAACCCAGACTGGAAATTTTCCATAACTCAGACTGGAAAGTAAAATTTTAGCCAAATTTGCAGCGAATTCGGAAAAGTGTTAAATTTTTCAAAAACAACCAAGGTTTTTTATACCCTCCACTATAAATACTATGAAGGGTAAGTTAAGTTCGCCATTCCGTATGTAACTCATCGAAATAATAATTTAAGACCATCCATCCGTCCGTCTGTTTTAATCACGCTAGAGTCAAAACGAATTAAGATAGGAAGCTAAAATTTTGTACATATCAGTCTTTTGTCTGCAGGCAGGTCAATTTCGAAAATGGGCTATGGGTGTCCACGATATCTCATAGCCCCCATATAACGGTACCCTAGGGTATGCGGTACTTTGATTATTTTAGCGACAGCATAGTTCATCATAGTTGTTTCAAATTTCGTATTTGAAGTTCCTAATAGGTACTACAGCCTGTGACAGAAAATTGTCTATGCAGGTCCAGGTCTTCGTATAGCCCCAATATATGGGTACCTCCCGATATTCGCTATTTTGATGATTTTAGCTACATTATTTACCGGATTTTTATACCCTTCACCACATAGACCCATAGTTGCATTTGAGGATCTCCATAGAATAACTTTCTGAGTCGATTGATGCATGTTCGTCCATGTATTCTTGTGAACAAAATTCAGGTCACATTTATTATCCGATTGAGATGACATTTTCCAAACAATATTTGTTTGGGCCAAGGACGAACCCTATTGGAATTGGTGATAATCAGATCAGATTTAGATATAGCTCCCATACATATCTTCAACCGATTTCGGGTTAATTGTGCACCAAATAACCAATATCTGTCCAAATGACGTGAATTTTGGCATATCCGATTCAGTCTAGAAGCTAGTACATTAAATTCGGAGAAAATCGGTTCAGATATAGCTATAGCTTTCATATATATGTATATATAAATATATATATATGTATATATAAATATATATATGCATATATAAATATATATATATATATATATATATATATATGTTTCATCCGATTTGGAGTTTAGGTTTAGATTTGGATATAGGTCCCACATATATCTTCAACCGATTTCGGGTTAATTGTACATCAAATGGCCAATATCTGTCAAAAAGTCCTGAATTACATCCGTACATCCGACCGACTTCTGTCTAGAAGCAAGTACATCGAATTTGGAGAAAATCTGTTCCGATATAGCTACCGATTTCACGTTTAAGTCCCTCACATTCATGATATGCATTAGACACATTGATATTTGGTACCAGATATCGGAAATACCTTTGCCAAATTTTATCGAGAACGGCTAAGATTTGGATACAGCTCCCATACATATCCTTAACCCGATTTCAGGTTTATTGTGCAAATAATGGCTAATGTAAGCCCAAATGGGGTGAATTTCATGACGTACGTTTTCATTTTGTGCAACGCGGCTCCGATGTATATTCGTTTAATATAATCCTCCTCCAAGTGATATCATGCGCTCTATATCAAACTATAACTGCTCGGAAGCCAAATGTTGATGGGTGGTATGATCTACTTGAAATAAATTCTTTTGTTACGGGAGCTCTTCTAAATATGCATAGTGGTGTAGGGTATCATATAGTCGGCCCCGCCCGACGTTTGACTTTTCCTTACTGTTTTTTTTTTTTTTTAAGTTTCATATTTAAATATCGTATAGGCTTATGACAAAAGTTGCCTATGCAGGGTCACGTCTTTGGCTTTATTCGGTATTTTTAAGATTTTAACAGAATTTTTAACGGATTTTATTTTTTGAAAATTTAAAATTCGTTTCAAATAGTGGATGGTATTCAAAGACCAGCCCGGCCGAACTTACTGCTTGTTTACTTGTTTAGCTCTGCTTTCATAATCTAAGGGATTTCCCCGTTAAAAAAAAATCAGCTTCATATTACGAATTTTATGGAATTTTCCTGGGCGCCCCTCGTTTCCTTGCTTCTTTTTAATCGGCCAGCACCAGTTTGGGCCAATATGACAGCGCTAAATCGAATTCGAGTCGTAAACGTTGTTCCAATCGAGGTATAAGTTATGTTTGAAACATTTGCGTTTTTAATGTTTCTTTACAGAATTATTTTACGTCTTCTGGCGCTGTGGAGTGTTTCCTTTATTTTGGCAGCAGCTCCCTTATTTCCTTTGAAATATTTTGGAACGCATTTTTATGGAACCAATGGTGTTTCTCTATCACTGCTTATACATGATCCTTTCGCTAAGGTAAGCGTAATTTGCACTGCACTTTTTATACATGCTTCTAGCTTCATTTAAATGTCTCTTCTCTCTTTGCAGGGTTGGGAGTATTCTGCTGTCCTATTTATATGCGTTAACACCTTCTCATTGTGTTTCATTTTGATTTCCTATTTGAGAATGCTTCAAGCCATACGGGTTTCGGGTGGTGGAATGCGTAGCACTTTAAGTGGTCGAGAAAGTATGGTGGCAACAAGGTAAATGTGGATCGGAACAAATATAAAATAAATAATATAAAATTGATTTTTTTCTTTAAGATTTGCCATAATAATAACCACCGACTGTGCCTGTTGGGTACCGGTAATTGTGGTGAAAATATTGGCATTGTCAGGTATGTAGTTTTCCCATATGAATATGCAATGAAAAATAATTTCTTTATTGTCCTAATTTCAGGAGTCTCCATATCACCCTCTCTGTACGCCTGGTTGGCCGTTTTAGTCTTGCCCGTTAACTCAGCTTTAAATCCGATTCTCTACACTTTAACGACTGCGGTTTTCAAACAACAACTATGTCGGTTTTGCCACGCCCTACCGAATTGTGCCATTTTCATGGATCGAACACATTCCCAATTGACCTTTGAATCGGCCAGCACCAGTTTGGGTCAATATGCCAGCGCTAAATCGAATTCAAGTCGTAAACGTTGTTCCAATCGGCGTATAAGTTATGTTTGAGACAAAATTTCGAATTGATTTTTTTTTTTAATTTAAAATTTAATTTATTTTATTGAACATTGTGATATTTGAATGAATTATTTTTTTCTAATGATGGGACCATGGTAGAATTCAGAAGGTAGCGTAGGGAGAATATTCACGTGCTGGATTTTGTGAAAATATGAAATGAAAAATATTATTTTTTATAAAATTTTCATTTAAAATAAGAGTTTTAATTTCACATTTTCATAGAACACGAACAGCTTAGCACTTTTTGTAATTTACCTTGTAAAATTTTATTGAATAGAAAACAGATTCTCTTATCGGATTTGTGTATATGCCATGTATTTATGAAAACACGTACTGAAAATACGATGTAATCACAAAAGGTTATCTTCTTAATTCTGCCATAGATTGGACTTAGAACATTTTTTCCATTTTCCAAAAAAAGACTACAATTGGTTATGTAGAAATAAAAGAAAGTTATTATTAATTAAAATTACTGAATAAAGTTAAAAACTGAGGCATAGTTGTTATTTAATCCAGAAAAGGACCTTCACAGATAGGAGACAGGTCTATCTGAAGAAGTTATGTCTTCTTTCTAAGAAAGTAGGGCCAAAAATGAACAGACACCTATGTATATAGGATACAGGCAAGTTCCCCCATTTTTTATTTTCCGACAATTCGAGAATTATTTTAACCCATAAGTGAGTCAACATAGGGTTTCTTCTAGGACCATTTTCAAAAAAAGGTAAGCGGGTTTTTAAAAGGTATAAGCGGGTTTTGCCGAAAGATGTATACCCTCAACCAATGTTCCATTATTTAAATATATTTTGACTTCTGTTATGATTATTTAAATTGTTGACCCTCTATGAAGTAGGTTGCAAAGGAATGGGCCAATATTGCCCATTCCGTTTCGGACCTAAATAAATTTGATAAAAAAAAACATTGCGACGTGCCAGATATACATGGTGAGATAAAAAAACTGCAACTAACTCCAGGCTGCTGTCATTTCTAAGCCACTCGTCCGACAGCTGTTAAAATTATTCCAGTACCAGCTCATTATATTGTTTACAAGCGTACAAAAGCATTTTGGTAAGAATTTTCCAGAAAAAAGTTATTTGTTATGGAATTCAAGCGTGATAGTGTGATATTTGGCTGGAAAACCACAAGTGGATATCGCTAGAGCCCTCCATCATTTAAATGTGAATAAATCTATTGTGTCTCGTGCCATCGCTCGTTACCGTGATACTGATAGCGTAGCTCGACGTCAAGGAAGTAGACGGAAGAAAAAAACAACCTCAGCAGAAATGGTTCGAAAAGTAAAGAAGCGACTTGATCGAAACCCGTGTCTCAGTGGACGAAAAATGTCTCGTGAGCTGAACATATCGCAATATTCCATTCGGCAAATATTGAAAAATGAGCTCGGGATAAAGCCATTGGATTTCCAAAAAGTGCAAGAACTTTCACCGCAACAGAAAGAAAATAGACTCAAAAGAGCTAAAGAGTTGCTTCGCTTGACCGAAAGTGGTGAACTGCCGTATTTGGTTTTCTCCGATGAGAAAACATTCGTTGTGCAGCATTTTTTAAACAAACAAAATGATCGTGTTTACTTGCCAAGAAGATCAACTGAAAATCTGCACCTTCGGTTGGCCACCAGAAGTCAAACGCCGACAATGGTGATGGTGTGGGCTGCCATAACAGCCGATGGTCATTCTCCGCTCGTATTAATTGACCGTGGCATCAGAATAAATGCCGAATATTATCGCGAAAATATTCTGGAGGGTGTATTAAAGCCTTGGGCACGCACTATGCACGCGCCACCCAAGAATGGTTACAAAATGAGGTTCCTCGCTTCATTTCCAGCGTACAATGGTCACCAAAATCTCAGGATACCAAACCGGTAGACTATTGTGTCTGGAGTATTTTGGACAGCAAGGATGGTACTAAAAAATACCTAAGTGCCGATCACCTCAAGCAAGTGCTTCGCCGGGAATGAGCCAAAATACCGCAGAGCAACATTCGGGCTGCTTGTGACGGTTTCATTGGCCGTTTGAAGGCCATAATTCGTGCTAAAGGTGACCAATTCGAACAAATCTAAACTTATTCTAAAATTTAATGCGATTTCCGACATTTTTTGCTTTCATTCAATAAAATTTAAAAAAAAATGTAAAAATTATGGCGTTTGACTTCGTTGCAGGTTTTTTATTTATCTCACCTTTATAGGGTCTACTACGAAGATTTTAGAAATGTTACCTCCTTTTCCAGGTGAAGGGTAAATAATGGTGTAGTTTTTCGGATACAAGTAAAAAATTTAAAATATAGTACAATATTGTACTATATTAAAGGTTCTGAAACACAACAAATAAATGAAACTAGTTTTATTAATTGTTTTTACAAACATTACATTTATTATTTCGTTTGTTTCTCTTTCTTTATTTTCAAATTATTGCAATTATTTATATTTGTTTGCTACTTATAGGTAAATAAATACTAACATATTTTTACAATAACTTAATATTAATATTTATACTTTTTAATATATTTGTTGTTGTTTTTAAAGTTTATCATTTCACAAAACAATGCATAGGTACCCAAAATAAGACATTCTATCAAAATTGTTCGTTAATTAGCTGTAAGTTTTAACTCTATTTATGATTTCTTATTTCCAATTTGTTAACGATAAATACATGCGATAGCATTAACAAAAAACTGTGAGGGTTATGAAATTATATCCTCATATTGATCATAATTTGTTAATTTTTTTTTTTAAATTTAATAATGTAAGTTAAGTTAGACCAATCCAAATGATTTACGCCCCTAAAAATGGAAGATACTGAAGGTAGCTATCTTTTCATTTCATTTTCATTATTAAATTTGTTTAATGGGCCAATCAATGACAATTTTATTCAAGTTCAGTGTAAAATGAACTTAACATTCGTAATATCAATAAAAATACCGATTCGGAACACTGTACAATATGGCATTGAAGTTTCCTTTCACATTTTTTTTTATCTGAACCGATCAGATCGCTAGTGAAAATGTTTTGTGTAATAGCTGCTATTTTTAAAGATTAAGATCTTTGAATGTAAATACAGGATGAGATGAAAAAACTGCAAAGACTGTTGTCATTTCTAAGCCACTCGGCGGACAGAAACATTATTCCAGTGACAGCTCATTATATTGTTTAAAAGCGTACAAAAGCATTTTGGTGAGAATTTTCCAGAAAAAAAGTTATTCGTGATGGAATTCAAGCGTGATGGTGTGATTTCCCTCTATTTGGCTGGAAAACCACAAGTGGCTATCGTTAGAGCACTCCAGCATTTAAATGTGAATAAAATTTTTGTATCTCATACCATCGCTCGTTACCGTGATACTGGTAGCGTAGCCCGACTTCAAGGAAGTGGACGGAAGAAAACAGCAACATCCGCAGAAATGGTTCGAAAACTAAAAAAGCGACTTGATCGAAACCGACTTGGTCGAAAAATGGCTCGTGAGCTAAACATATCGCAATATTCCATTCGGCAAATATTGAAAAATGAGCCATTGAAATTCCAAAAAGTGCAAGAACTTACACCGCAACAGAAATAAAATAGACTCAAAAGAGCTAAAGAGTTGCTGGCCTGGTGAACTGCCGAATTTGGTTTTCTCCGATGAGAAAACATTCATTGTCCAGCAGTTTGCAAATAAACAAAATGATCGTGTTTACTTGCCAAAAAGGTCAGCTGAAAATGTGCACCTTCGGTTGGCCACCAGAACTCAAGCGCCGGCCATGGTGACAGTGTGGGCCGCCATAACAGCCGATGGTGGCTCTCCGCTCGTATTAATCGACCGTGGCATCAGAATAAATGCCGAATATTATTGCTAAAATATTCTGGAGGGTGTATTAAAGCCTTGGTTACGCAAACATTTTGTCCGCAGACCGTGGACATTCCAACAGGACTCAGCACAATCGCACTCAGCACGCACCACCCAAGAATGATTACAAAATTAGGTTCCTCGCTTCATTTCCAGCGCACAATGGCCACCAAATTCTCTGGATACCAATGCGTTGGACTATTATGTCTGGAGTATTTTGGAAAGCCGATCACCTCAAGGGAATGGGCCAAAATACCGCAGAGCAACATTTGGGCAGCGTGTGACGGTTTCATTGGCCGTTTGAAGGCCCTGATTCGAGCCAAAGGTGACCAATTCGAACAAATCTAAACTTATTCTAAAATTTAATGCTATTTCCGACATATTTTGCTTTCATTCGATAAAATTAAAAAAAAATAAATAAAATTATGGCGTTTGACTTCGTTACAGTTTTTTATCTCACCCTGTATACCTTCGTATATATCATTTACAATTTTGACTCATTCCTTTGTTAGCTTACATTAAAAATGACGGAACACAATTTTCAGACATTGTTAACAAACACATTTTAGATTCTAGTCTTAAATTAAGGATGTGTTATAAATATAACTTTGTAAATAGTTCTAAATTTAATACAAACATTAAATTGCACTATGCATATTGGATCAAAAGGAAAAAAATTAAAAATGCAATTAAAAATTCTCAGTTAACTTACTTATAACATTCCTAATTAAAATAGTGTAGCGAAAAAAAATCTTCATATGATCTTCATTATTTCTCTGTAGTATAAAATATTAACTTGTGTTCTCAAATAATTACCCAAAAATATTGTGCTTATTGTTCAATACTCTACAACTTTTTTTTATAAAAATACAAAAAAATGCTTATCTAAAAATGGTTTATTTTGTTAATCAATGACCAATAAAAAAGGGGGACAATGTCTGTGCGTATGTGTGATGAAAAATGAAAACAATGCATAGCATGTTTATGTAATATTCATAAAAATCTTAATTCGGCATGATTGCAATAAATTGAAACAAAGTCACATTGAAAACCGATTGTAATGTGAAAAAAACAACAATTCTCTAAAAATATTATACATTGCATTTTTAGTATTTTTTCAATACAACGATAAATTGCAAAGAAATTAAAATTAAAAGTCAAAGTTTGTATCTGTTTCATACAAGTATGAGATGCGTCAAAGAAGTATGCACAGTTTGTGAAAAAAGTTATACAAAGTTGTTGTTGTAGCTTCAATATTTTCTCCAAATCTGTGAAATGCTGAAAATGAGTCTGAGACAAACCTTGAAACAATTTTTTTTTGTTCTGAACGATAAATTCGGATTTATTTATCAAAATTGGTTAAACAATATTAAACAAGTGGGATCAATATTCATTGTAATTTTGAGACATAAAACAAAACAGTTCTACATTAAATTTAATAAATCCATTTTTTCCTTTATTTAAGTGAAGGTCATTTGATAATTATACCCTACAACACTATGTGTTGGGGGTATTATAAGTTTGATTGGGCCAAAAATTATGTAACATCTCGAAATATTGGTTTCCCATATAGGAAAGTACATATGGATCTTCCTATCTCCCCAAGCTTAGTCGATCAAGCTATGTATGTCCGTCCGTCCGTCCATGTTGATTAGTAATCGCTCTACAGGTCGCAATTATGGCCCGATCCCCGAAA